TCAAACCCTTTTCATCATTAGATTAATCTCAACTTGATGTTTTCAAAATGGAATCTGATGCTGTGGGAATGGTTGTGCTAAGTAGTCAGAGCTGTCTATGGTAGTCATTTACCAGAGTTGGTGGCTGTCGTTTCCTAACTTAATCTCGATATGAAATTAAACTTTTAAATGAGGTGGACTCAACATGGGGTTGAAACAGAGCCACCATGGGGTTGAAGATGGGACTGTAAAGCATTTTCAGTGAGTTGTGGGCTGCAGGAGGCCTGGAGATGTGATGGTGCTCAATTGTACATTTGAATACGAAGATGAGAATTTTAAAATGAAGGTGTTGTTGGGCCCAGAGATAATACAACTTCACCAAATACAGTGTTGATCGTTTAGCAGAATTTGGTGCGAGTAAATGTAATGCGAGGGAAGAAAACTTGTGGAGAAAAGTTAGAAAAATTTTAGCTTCATAATTTATCAACAGTGAAGCAGCAGCACACTGTAATATATAAAATATTAATTTCATTTAAGAAATGTAGTGCTAGAGGCGTGTGTCGGAGGGGGAGTGTGGGCTGAGGAAAGAGCAGCCAGCACAGTTGGCTGGATGGTTCATGTGCGGTTCAAATGAACCCCAACAGTGAAGGTTTGATCGAGGTACTAGCTGAGTATAAGAGTCACAGAGGCTTAATCAAGCCACTTTTCTTTGTCTTGTTCAAAATTGGATATTTCACTGAACACTCATTTCAGGAGTCAAGTGATTCTACTTAGGGAAAAAACGAAGAGTATATTTGGAAATGATATGGGTAACGTATTTTCTCAGAGCTCCAGTACTGCAGGATAGCATTACATTCCATGGTTAGGCAAGGCAAGTGGCACAGCAAGGGGTGAGAGACCAGCAAAGAGGTCTGGTGTGGAGTGACGGACCACACCCCAAGTCACACAGCCTATCTTAGAATCACAGTCACTTCCCAGGTACGTGTTAAACTCTGAGCACAGGGTCACTCATTGCACACCTCACTCCTGTTCATTTACTGATCCCATCACTGCAAGTTATCACTGCCTTAGATGCTGTGGGACTTTCTGTTCTGATCTTCTGTCAAACACATCTGAGGCTACACATCCCACACTGATGTTGTCAGTTTGAAAACCTCCAAGAATGAAGATTGCTATACCACACTAGAAATCTCTGTCAAACATTTACCAGGGGAACTGAGACAGCAGCTGCAATAAGTGAGGTCTTATTCAGATGGGACAATGAGACGTTTAAATCCTCACCCAATCTGCTGCTCAAAGTTACTTCCATTTCACCGGTCAGTTTCCCAAGCTTCAGGAAACTCATGTTGCTGCAGAAATATTTGGATTGACTGTGAGAGACGTCAATCAGAGAGCCCACCCACTCTGCCCATTCTCTCCTCTTCCTCTTCCAGAGCTGGTTCACTTCCTATAGGGACTGAAAACCA